GAGTCAGGAGGAGGCTCTGTTGATCTTGATGGGCTCACTGGGGGCCTGTCAACTGACTGTAGGTGGGTCTACATGACCTGTGCTGGGACAGCTGAGCTCTCTTCCACATAGTCTCTCATCCTCCACCAGTGTAGCCCAAGCTTGTGTAGATGGCTGTGGCCATATCCAAATGAGAGGACAGAGACATACAAGGCCTCTTGAGGCCCAGAATCAGAAGTGGCATACCATCACTGCCACCACACACTACTGGCCAAAACAAATCACAGGCTAGCTCAGGTTTAAGGGGTAGGGAAATAGACTCCAACTTTTAACAGGAGGAGCTACAAAATCACATTGCAGAGTGGGGATATGAGGAGAAGAGAAGAAGTGGGGACATTTATGCAATCAGTCTACCCCAATCACTTCTTGGGGGCTTGTGGACTCCTGCCTTTATTCAATCAATATATATTGAACTCTTACTATGTGGCAAACACTGGCTAGATCCTTGGAATTTACACATGAGAAAGACGTATTCTCTAGAAAGAAGCATATATCATACCATAAATTATTGCGAACCCTACTCTACCAAGTCTTGATACCAATCAGATAGAATTTATGTTCTTGTGTTTAAATTTCGCATGTACTTTACTTACTTTATACATGAGTTTATGATATCTCTCCAAGGTCCAGGCAGTGTTTGCACCTCCATCTCCATATCTTCCAGATAAATATTGCCTGGTGGAAATTATAGATGAGTATATCATAGGTCTGTGTCCCAGCCCTCATGCAGGTAACCAGCCTCTTCACAACCAGGTTAATTGGCACAGTGCCTGATGTGTATAAGTTATTCAACCATATTTGTTGAAGTGATTTAAATATTAGCCATACAAACACACATACTTTGGAAGTGATACACTGGAAACACAGGGATGAAGTTACCTGCTCCTGTGAAAAGCCTATAAGCAGAATATGGTGGGCCAATCAATAGTACTTGTGCATGGGAACCTGGGAAATTTGAATTAGAACAAGAGTTCTCAAATTTGCCTCTTGGAAATATACATATTGTCCTGTGACTAAAATGGGAGGAGGGGAGCTGGCCCTGTGGCCCAGTGGTTAAGGTTTTGCGTGCTCTGCTTCAGCAGCTCAATGGTTCAAGGGTTTTGATCCTGGGCACAGACTTAATCCACTCATCCGCCATGCTGTGCAGGCATCCCGCATACAAAATAGAGGAAGATTGGCACAGATGTTAGCTCAGGGTTAATCTTCCTCAAGCAAAATAAAAGAGGAAGATTGGCAACAAATGTTAGCTCAGGATGAATCTCCCTCACCAAAAAAATAACATGAAAAATAAAATGGGAGGAGGGCTTTCTCCTCAATTCCCGTGGGAAAATGCAGGTACACAGACTTGTTTTGATTAATACTAATGTTTCATGGCATTTTGCAACAAGTGCTAGTAATTACTGGATGACCAAGCTTGAGAACCACTGATTGTGGAAAGGGTCCCTCACCCTGGTGGGCTGAGACCAGAGGAGCTAGAGATTTGAAGGGCCCTTCTGGTTTCTTCTTGTTTGGGCGGGGTCAAAGCTGTCCACCTGTGGCTAGGTCAGGTCACTGTCCCCCTGCTGCGGCCACATCAGGAAATCCATTTACATCTGTTCAAAACCTTGTTTAGTTTTTCTTTTTAATGTTCTGCTCTTCGTAAGGATAGAAGCTGTTTCAGAACAATCTTGGTAAGGCAGTTTATAGAACTCAAAGCTTCCTAAATGTTGTCAGGGCAGCTAGCCTGGTAATTATGGAGTCTATGCAAAGCACTTTTAACAAATCACCTCAGCCAACAGCTCCAGCCAGAAACAGCTCTGGGCAAGGGAGGAAGCGGTGGGGAGGGGAGGGCAGGGGAGGGAGTGGCGGGATGAAAAACAGCTGCTGGTATTTTACACTGAAGCTCACAGGGTGGAGGCAACCTTTGTACAGTAGTTATAATCAGACTCATCTTCTATCGTGCAGGGGAGGAGAAGGAGGGAAGAAAATGGGGAGAAAAAGCCTCTTTCCTTGGCCTCCAAATTTTCCCTCTAGTAGCTGAAAGAGGAAAAGAGGTAAAAAGAAACAAAAGCAGCCTTGGGCCTGTAGGTCCCAAAGTGCATGGGAGCTGGGGAGGTGTGAAGGGCCCCACAGGAGCTGCAGGCTAGAAAAAGCGAGGTGGCGGGGTGGGGAGGACACATTCTGGCAGAGTCAGAAAGCTGGACGGGCTCCTCACCCAGCACTCGCTCAGACCCTGTTCAACTTTAATGTTTATTCTTCATTACTCTGTATAAAGGCATCATTTTTATGTTTTAGTGAAAATATTCTAATAAGCAGATGTCTTTCCGTAGGGTAGAGAAGCTTTTCCATTGATCTACTGATGCAGGCGGCACGCCCTGCTCTCACCTGCTCAGATTCACAGGTCCCATCTTTTCTGGTCACTACCCTAGAGTCTCACAGGAAACTCATTCTCTCCCTTTCTTAGAAGCCACCTGTCTTGAGTTCTCTAGGGCTGTTGAAACAAAGTCCCACAAACTGGGTGGCTCAGACAATGGACATTGACTGTCTCGGTTCTGGAGGCTGCCTAATCAGGGCGTCCTCAGGGCTGGTTCCTTCTGAGGGCCATGAGGGAGACTGTTCCAGGCCTCTCCCCCAGCTTCTGGTGGTTAGCTGACAATCTGTGGCGTTCCTTGGCTTGTAGAAGCATCACCTGATCTCTGCCTTTGCATTCACATGGCATTCTCCTTGTGTGTGTCTATCTGTGTGTCCACATTTCCCCTTTTTAGAAGGACACCAGTCATAATTGGATTGGGACCCCACTGTGCTCCAATATGACCTTATCTTAACTAATTATATCTCCAGTGACCCTGTTGCCAAATTCCAAGGTACTGGAGGCTAGGACTCAACATAGGAATTTTGAGAGGACACGGTTCAACCCAGAACACCGCCCTCTAGATCTCAGCCTTTCACCCGTTTCTCTGCCCCGGCTTTGGCCATTCGGTCAAGTCCACTCAGCTGGCCTTTTATATCGACTCTAACCTTTACCACGGAACTTTAGCCCCTGAGCTATTCATAGCCAGCCCCGGCCTCTTGCCCTTGCCACTGCATTCCTCTGCTCACCCCGCATGGCTGCCTTGGCTGTTGCCAGTGGCTTCGGCCAGGGTGGGGACAGTGGTGTGGGCAGGGTCAGGATTGTCTCCTTGCAGGTCCCAGGTCAGTGAACATTTCCTGACTCGATGAAACTGAATGTACAAATAAACAGCAGCATCAATCAACTTTGAGACAGAATTTCCAAGGTTCAGCGCCTGAAGTAGACCCCTTGTAGATTAAGTAACAGCTTCATCTTGGCTTTGTGTTTCTATCGGCTTATCTCACCCCGCTGCAAAGGTGGGCTGGAGCTGTCCCTCCCTGCCTCCCCCAGTCTGGTCCAGGCTTCTCTAATCCGCTTCCATCTGTGCGCCTTCTGATCCGGACAGGGACATCACAGCTGCCTCCTTCCTTCCTTGTCCCCTTGCCATAGCTAATCCCACCTTCCCACGTCCTTTCTCTTTCTGCCACTTGACAGCCTCCCTCCTGGATTTCTCTTCTGCTGCCTCATCGGCCCCGCCACACTCCACACTTGGCGCCATTGCTCACCTCGCAGCTCACCTTTGACGTTCCATCTCTGCGCCTCCTCGGAGGACTTGGACCTCTCCTGCTGCACCTGCTTCCCCACTCCCATTATTCTCTGGATGTCTGAGCCCTTCCTGGCCCCTACCCCTTGTCTTCACTTACTTGGACCTCTGTCCCCACTGGGATCCCTGATCTGTACATTTAAATATCCCCAATAACATCCCAAAGACCTCACTTGATTCAAGATTTCCATACTTCAAGACTAATCCCGACAAAGGATGGAGAGTTATTTCTCTTTCCCAGTTAACGTGGTAATAAGTTGTCCCCAAACTTTGAAATGGGAGGAGGGGTTCTTATTTCACATAAAGGGAGACTCTCACGGTGTTCTCTCTCCTTTCTGATTTCAAAGCAGCTTCTGCTGTTGTGAAGTGCATTCATATTTTTATAAAAGAATGAAAACAGCAGGAACACTAGTATTAAAGCACTGTGAAAAACACAAAGATGATTATTTTCCTATATAATCCAAACATGTACCAATGAGGTAGAAAATAGCTTAATATTTTACTGAATCTTTGCTAATCTTATCTAATGTAGCTAATACATTAGGAATACCTTTCTCTTCCTTTATATTATCTGGCAGCTGTGCATTCATTCAGCACATTGGGGTGAGGTGCCCTTATGATCCAGTCACACAGTGGTCACAAATGCTGATGTTGGAGGGACTTTGAAAGTACCTCAGAGATACCGTGTTTCCCCTGGGCAGGACTCTACCCAAAGTTGCCACCCTTCACTCAAAGAACGGAACGAAAGGCAGGGCAAGTGGTGAAAAGCTAGCTTTAAAATGTTTATTGAAAAGGCATATTAACATCTAGAAATTTTCTCTTAGTAAATAATGAGGATTATGTGTAAACATTTAGCTTCCAACCTATACATCAAGGATTCTTTTAAATCAAAATAACAGAAATACCCTAATTGTACAATAATGGATTGAGTAAGTTGATACTGAGTAAACGTACAAAAGAGGAATTCAGTGTAACAATTACAACGTAGAAGCATATCGTGGAAAGATGTTTGTGTTCTACAAAAGAGTGTATCTATAGTGTGATCCCATTTTTATGATAAAACACACATGCATACCCTACAAACTCACCCACTACACACCCCCCCATAAAAGAATTGGGCGATTAGAATGCAGAGGGTTAACTGGGACCCCCCTCTGGATAGAAGAATGAGATCGTAGATGATTTCCTTCTATTTGCTCATCTAAATTTTCTAATTTTCTACAAAAAACAAATGTTGCATTTAAAATTGTTTTTTAAACCATGAGATAAAAAGCATACAAAGATCACTTTTACTAAACATAGCCATTTATGTGTTTTGACCCTTTGCAGCTTATAGTGACTTAGGCTACTACATAATCAATAAACTGCACCATGTGGATGAGTCAGTGGGGAACAAAACGAGAAGGGCCTTCCTCTACCTTGCTGCCTTCCCTTTCATGGATGCGATGGTGAGTAAAGAAGATTGTGGGCTTTTTTTTTTTTATTATGGTAAAATATACATAACATAAAATTTACCATTTTAACCATTTTTGTGTATACAGTTTAATGACATGAAGTATGTTCACATTGTTGTGAATCTTCAGAACTCTTTTCCTCTTGTGAAACTGAAACTCTACACCCTTTAAACGCTAACTCCGCGTTCCCCCTCCCCCCAGCCCCTGGCAGCCAGCATTCTACTTTCTGCCTCTAGGAATTTGACTACTCCAGGGACCTCATATGACTGGAATCATCCAGTATTTGTCTTTTGTGAGTGGCTTATTTCGCTTTGCATAATATCTCTAAGATTCATCCATGGTGTAGCACGTGTCAGAATGTCGTTTTTAAGGCTAATATTCCGTTGTATGGATATACCACATTTTGTTTGTCCGTTTATCCATCAACGGACACTTGGGTTGCTTCCACCTTTTGGCTCTTGTGAATAATGCTGCTATGAACATGGATGTACAAATATCTCTTTGAGTCCCTGCTTTAATCTTCTTAGATATGTACCCAGAAATAGAATTGCTGGGTCATATAATGATTCTCTTGTCATCTTTTTGAGGAACCATCATGCTGATTTCCACAGCAGCTGCACTGTTTTACATCCAGCAGTGCAGGCCTTTCCAACTGACCATTGACTTTTAACCAGTCCATCTGGTCAGTTTATTCATGAGAATTGTCTATATTTGCCACAGTTCCGGTGGGAAGCAAGAAAGCCCATTTGAACATTTTGATTCCCATATAAAGTTCCTTTCTGATATATTCAGGATCAAGGGAGCAGGACGACTTTCTGATAAACTTACCACTTGTGTGGTAGAAGCACCCAAAGCTTTTTAGAATAAGAATCTGGTGAACTTACTGCTAGGATCATATCTCTTTAATAACCAGCGTTACCACACTGGCTAAGGGCGGCTCACTCCCACAGGTTAAATTCTTGGTCATGATATTGAGGAGTTATCAGACAATGCTTTTTTCCTATTCATCCATGTTATAGATATAAAAGAGACTTAGGCAAAAAAATAATTCTTATAATATCCAACGCTGGAAAGCAAACACTTTATTTGGGTTCCACTTTAAATTACCTTCGGAAGGAGACTTGAAAATATGTCATTCTGTACAGTTTTTTGCCTCCCCCCCGCTTACCGCAAGTGTTGTATCTATTAGACGTGAGGTAAGTGGACCTCTGTACTGAGGTGAGGGGGCAGCCCCAAATCCTTGCAGGAGTGAGGCAAGGGAAAAATAGACGTGGTCCATCTTCTCAAATGTTATCAGAAGTCTCACTTTGCCTGTGGTTAGGTTACTGGTGCAGCCTCGCTGAACCTCTGACTGCTTCTTGCCGGTTTGCATGGTAGCCCTAAATATGAAACTCAGTTTTGATGCAAAGGTTCTGGTTCTCGATTGTTGTGGGCAGACTTGGCCATCTGAACTCTTGTACCTGGATTTTCTTTTTCTTACTTCTCACTGAGAGTGTTGACTTTGGTAGTGGACACATACCCCAAAAAAGAAAAGGGTGAAGGTCTTGGAGTCCATGGAACCAGATTCCCCACGGTACCCGTGCCGCCTGCGGTGGCGCCACAGTGCTTCGAAATCAGTTAGAGAACTGAATGAAGTGACCTTTTTCATCTCCTCAGAGTTACAGCCTAGCTCCCCAGACAGAGGCCATGATATTGCTCTAGCACCTGCCCTCGCATCTGTACTGGGACTCTATAAACACGTAGAAGAATTATAATTATACAGCGAATTCAGGGAGCTCAGGACTAAAAGTGAATCACAGACGCTTCGTGCCCTGTATCCCACTTCCCTTCAGCTCTGTTTATTTGCCATGAGAGAGTTTCTAAAATTCAGTGGAACACCAGAACATTTGTGAGTGGCTCCCTTTTCTTCCATGTCATTTATCAACTCCCCCAAAGACCCAGTAGTAAGAGACTGCTAATAAAAGCCAAAATAATGAACATTTATAGAGTGCTGGTCATCTCCACAAGCACGCGCACACACACACACCTGCAGGCACACCTGCACGCACACACCTGCACATACACACATATACACACCGGCACGCTCACACACACACCTGCACGCATACACATGCCCCCATGCAGCATGCCCCTGATATGTTGGTTGGAGAGAATATTTAAAAAGCACAAAGCTTATTGTCCAGATGGCTTTTAGTCCACAGCGGTAGCCCACAGGCTGCTGTCTGCAGGTGTTGTTCGTAGTTTGCACATTTGGCACCTTGGGGCCTGAGCTGAGGGAGGAAGTCGATGCAGCAGCTGCTGTATAAAATCTTGACACGGACCTGGGGAATAACTCATACTCGGCTGATTGTGGTTAGCGCAGATGAAATGTTACTGCTGTGTCAGTCCAGATCTCGACAGGTTAGAAGGATGATCCTTAAACAGAGCCTATCATGAACTTTAGACCTTTTCCAAACCTGCCATCCCCTCGACCTTTCACTGTCTGGCCCCCTTCTAGGCCCTTCCTCTTAATTTCCCTCCAGGGCACAAAGTGTCAGATCAGGTCCTGCCCGAACCTGAAGAGGAGGAAAGAGTAGAGCCTGAATCAGTCACTGAGAACCTGTAATGACTTAGAACTCGGAACCAAATTAGAGTCCTCGTTATAACCTGCTTCATGGAAGCAGAATGCCGCTGCTGTGTGAGTCAGACTGTCCAGGAGAGAGAGGGCAGAGTCCCTCCATGCTGGTTACTCACCCAGCTGCTTGCCAGGCACGTGGACCTAACAAGTACACAGGCAGTGTGGAATTGGTACTAAATATATCCTGGGCAGTCGTGGACTCCACTTAAAAATCTAACATGGATCTAGCCACCAAGCCAAGTTACAGTAATTTTACCAACCAAAGACTTATCAGACCTGTGCTACTAAGGTTTTTGGAGGTATAAAGTCTATTTCAGGAATGCCCAGTAAATCATAATGACAGAAATAATATAATCCTGATGGTGTAGCTCATGCCAAATTCTTTTCTTTCTGGCAGGCATGGACCCATGCTGGCATTCTCTTAAAACACAAATACAGTTTCCTGGTGGGATGTGCCTCCATCTCAGATGTCATAGCTCAGGTAAATATGGTCTGCGTGTCAGAGCGGCTCAGAGCCCCTTTCTGGTGAGTGACAGAACTGACGATGCTTCCTTACATTCATTCACTCTGTGGTATATTCCTACATTACTCACATCAAATGTGGACTTCAATAAATGTTTTTAAACGGATGAGGAAATGAAGCCTCCTGTGATACAAGTAAGTATAATCTTGCTAGAATGAGGATTGTGGGAATCTAAATTTAGCATCAGAGGTTTTGACCTTAATTTTTAAAGAGCTTGCATGTGAAATGAGTATGAAGTCATAGCTGAGCACATTTTTGGGTGGTCATAGGTCACTGCGCACTTGGCTGGCTGTGCACTTGGCTGGCTGTGCACTTAGCCCTCCATGCAGCCCAACAATGCATGGTCTGTCACTCAGTTCTAGAGAGGGCTCTTAGGAATTATTCTTAAATATTGTTTCTCATGTTGTTGCCACACAAAGCTGCCATTCACACGTCATTTCCCCACATTTAAAAAGAACCAGGAAGTTGGACGCTGTCTGAGAAGATAGCCTACATTGCACATTCAGCTGAGTCCCGTTCCCTGGGGCCTGGCACCACCCTGGTTTCCATCCTCCTTCCTTGCTTTCTTCTACCAAGGACACCGCATGAAAAATTTCAGCAGAAAATTAGATTTAATTCCTATCATCTATAAAGTAGACTTAGTCCTTACACTCAGGGATTGGGGAGAATCTTCATAGAGGAGGACATTATGATGCGGGGTCGGTGAGCCGAGGAGTCGAAAGAAAGATTTCTTAGACTCTTAAGATCTGGCAGTAGTGCTCTTTTATTTAGAGAATAGTGTAGCATGGGGACAGGACCCATGGGCAGTCAGAGCTTCTGCTGCCGCTTCTGCTGCCCCCGCTGGCATGGGGACAGGACCCATGGGCAGGCAGAGCTTCTGCTGCCGCTTCTGCTGCCCCCGCTGGCATGGGGACAGGACCCATGGGCAGGCAGAGCTGGTGCGTGGGGACAAGACCCACGGGCAGTCAGAGCTCCTGCTGCTGCTAGCATGGGGAGCTGCTGCTGCCGCCGCTGGCATGGAGACAGGACCCATGGGCAGGCAGAGCTGCTGCTGCTGCCCCCGCTGGCATGGGGACAGGACCCATGGGCAGGCAGAGCTGGTGCTTGGGGACAGGACCCATGGGCAGTCAGAGCTCCTGCTGCTGGCCCGAGTTGAGGGTTAGGGCTAAATTTAAGGCATGGGTATGTGAGTCATCTCTTTACGAGACAAAGAAAAAAAGTTAAAATGGTATCAGTGCAGGTGGGGTCTGGTCATTGGGTGATCCCATGACTTTTAGACAAGAATCAAATCGGATTAAGTGAAGGTCAGAAGCCGCCCCCCTAAACCGGTTACATGAGATTGCCAGACAGCAACCGACTTAAGTTCTTGCCTTCCCCATTAAGAGTTTCTAGGGATAAGGTCATCTCTCCTCTTCTTCCTGGTACAGAGAGGGAGGCACCTTTTACAGATAGAGATTTACCTTACAAATGTAAATATGTCCCAACAAGGGCAAGTTCCATTCCCCAGAGCCTCCTTCCCTGTCCCAGTTTATCGAAAGCAATCAGCCCAAAACAATCCTGATGCCAAAGAGACATATCCTGGGGTGGCCAATTTCAGGTCCCTACAAGGTCATCCCCCCTTCCTTCACAAACGCAAATGTCTCAAAAGGGCAAGCAAAATTCCAGTCCTCGGAGCCTGCTTCTCATCTGCAGTTTTAAAAGTAACCAGCCTAAAAATCCTCATCATAAACCGTTTTAAAATTAAGCAGCCTAAAAATCTTCATCAATTACACTGATTTCTAAGCTCTCTTCCCAATTCTCAGTTCCATTTTATGAACATTTCCGTGCATTTCTTCCTGTTTTTTCCCATTGTACATGCTGGTCTTTTAGCCATCTTTTTGAAATAGTCTACTGTTAAACTGTTAGTACCTCCCTAAAGACCAAGAATTAAATTTCCAAATTAATTGTATTAACTCCATGGATCACTATTAAAAGTAATTTAAATTAATTCCTGCAAAACACTCTGTGTGTGTGTGTGTGTGTGTGCGCACGTGTGTGTGTGCGTGTGTGCATGCCTGGACGGACGTATGTCTGAATGCTAGCTAACATCATTCTTTGTTAATTTTCTTGGTGAGTTATTAGAGATTTTTGTCCTGCTCTTACTTTTAATTCATCCTCTGAAAGATGAACTAAACTGCCTTATTCACTCTATTCACTTAATTTGAAATTAAGGAAACACCTCTCATTTTCAACATTGGCATCAGCAGCTCAGTGAGCATTTATAGATGTGTGTTTTCTTACAGGCCAAAAAACAAAAAACTTAACTTTTCCTAAGACAAATACAGTAAGTATCCAAGGGTAGAAGAAAAAACATGTCCTTGAAAAATGCTTTGCCAGTACGCCTACAGCCGTTTTCCTTCTCAGTTTTAAACCTGGTCCAGGACCCTGCCTGTTGGAAGAGCTCGCAAATTCACAATAAACATATCTGTTGGTAAGAGCCATAGAAGCTGAATTCAATGCCATCTGGCCTCAGGCTATTCCTGGTGAAGGAGTTATTTTAAACCTTGTAGACTGAGTTCCTACCACACTTTGGCTGGGGAATAAATTCAATTTTTGTTCTTAAGTCTTACCTCCACCCCCAACCCCCAGCTTCATTCTTCTCGTTACTTGAAAGCATTTGTTAATTCCCAAATTTGGTAATGAGTAAATAGATCCCAGGCAGTCCTTTGGTATATCACCTTGGCATAGATAACATGTAATCACCAATGATAAAATGCAAAGAGTTTATCATGCCTTGAATTTTAGTAGCAACTCCCTTTTCTTTTAAATTTTACTAAGCCAAGTGATTTCACACAGTAGTACAAAAAAGCTCTTGATTGGTTTGAACGGGCAATGATATTCTGTGCCACTGTTATTGTAATAGTCATATGTTCCAATCAGATTGCCAAGGAATTTATGAAAAATAGTGCTGTTTTTATTTTATTTCGTGATCACCTGGACTTTCTTAACTTGCTCCATGTCAAAATGAGAATTCTCTTGAGGTTGTTGGACCCCACTGGGACCTCCAGTCCTTTAACCTTTCTGCTCTCGTCAGCCCTTGCCTTGAAGTCAGCTGAGACTGCAGGGATGGGACCCAAGATCTCAGTTCAGAAATTACTGCACTGCTGTAAATCCTCTTGTCTCCCACCTTTTCACCTCAGCCTTGTGGCGAGATCCCAATCCTGAACCACCCCATGGCGTGCCCCTTTCACCAGCCTGCACCCAGGTAGCAGGTGCTCCTGGAGAAAGTTACACAACGGGACAAATCAAACTATAAATGTACAGTCTCATCTCTTACCTCACTGACTCTGTTAACTACGAGTCTCAGGAGGGTCTCTACCCACTTCACTCTTCCCAACACACCACCTCATTTCCCGCTTCACTGAGAAGACTGAAGCAACCGAATTCTTCTACTTCTGGCCACTGAACCCGCAGGCCTGCCTCCAAATTTTTGCATCATCTCCATTTCCCCCCATTATAGTAAAGGAGGTGTCCCTCCTCTGTCGAGGACCACTTCTTCCACCTGTGCCTTGGATCCTGTCCTGCCCTGCTTTCTCAGGAACCTATTCAATCACTTATCAGCGATCCATTCTATTTATCCCGGATCATTTTCTTGACATGTAAATGTGCTCAAATATCTACCATCTTAATACAGCAAGAACAACAAGCTTTTTCTGCTCTCACATACCTCTCAGGCTACAGTCCTCTTTCTCACTTTATTACTTCACAGCCACACCTTTTGGAAGAGTAGTTTCCCCTCACTGTCTCTATTTTTTCCTTCTTTTACCTGCTCCAGCTTGACTTCTACCCCCATCGGTTCACCCAGCCTGTTCTTACTGGTGACCTTCGTGCCATTAAGTCCAGTGGACAGTTTCAGTTAACTTAGTAGACGTCTCAGCAACTCTTCACTCTATTGACTGCTCCCTCCTCAGTGACATGCTCCTTCCCACTGGCTCTCACCACCACAGTCCTGGTTTTTCTCCTACTTCTGAAGGCTCAGCAGCCTCTCGTGATGTGTAATTGTTGAAGTTCTCAAGACACATCCCTCTCCTCTCTCTGTATTCTGTTCATGAAGAATCTAATTCATGTCCAAGGTTTATACCATCTATAACATGATTGATGGTCCCCAAGTAAATATCTGTAGCCTGGCCCTCTAAATGTCTCTGTGATGTTTCCTCAGATCCTTCAAAGCTACCTTAAGCCTCAATCCATGATCTTCATGATCTCAATGGTTGCAGTTTTGAATGAATCACTGGCGCTACCATCTGGTCAGAAACTTGGGCCCCACCCTAGGAGCGTCCATCTTCATCACCAGCCTTGTAGATTTTAATCCTAGATACTTCTTTCGTCTGCCCTCCCCATCTTTGCAGCCCTCGCCCTGGTCCAAGGGATCACCTTTCCCGCCTGCAACTAGAGATGCCTCCTAACTTGCCTCACCCATCTGCTCTGTCTCTCCTCTCTCCCTCCCCACGGCAGCCATGGTGATCTATTCTCAGTGAAATTCTGAGAATTTCACCATTCTACCTAAAAACCCGCTTTAAAAGTTCTTCCTACTGTTCTGGAGATAAAAGCCACAATCCTGCAAGGTGGTGGCCTGCAAGGTGCTGAAGACCCATGGGCCCGGCTTCCTCTCCAGCCCTGCACTCCCCTCTGGTCCCCTTGCCCTCTGCTTTCCAGCCACAGGCCCTCCTTTCAGGGCCTCAAGGTGGCCGAGCCCCATCCCTCTAGGGGTCTTGGCCTGGATCCCTCTGCCCAGAAGGAAATGCTCTGCCGCAGTTCTCCTCACGTACCACCGACTCCTGCCATCCCTGCTGGCTCCTGCCGAGGCTGTGGGTCCCAGCTCAGACAGCACTCCACATGGGGCACCCTCCGGCCATGCAGCCTGGCTCTCCCAGTGCCACCGCCCTCTTTCCTTCACAAGCCTTGTCACAGTCTGTCAATGGACGCTCGCCGGCATCACTATTTGATTAACGCTTCTGCCTCCTCCACTAGACTGCCAGCTCCCGGAGAAGAGAGTCTGGGACTATCTTATTTATCATTAAATCCCCAGCACCTGGTATGGGGCTTTCACTGGGAAAATCCTCACCACTGAGATAGTAGGTTCCTCTCAGAAAATAATCTGACATTTTTGATGGCTATATCAGATTCAAAGTCATAATTCTGGATTGAAATGCAAAAGGCCCGAGTGTTATTTTAAATTGATAAATGATACAATCCACGATGAAGATGTAAGTTCTGTAGTAAGTGTTGGACCACATGGCATCAAGCTTTTAAAAATACAGAGGAGGAGGCCGGCCTGGTGGTGCAGCAGTTAAGTTCGCATGTTCTGCTTCGGTGGCCGGGGGTTCGCCCATTCTGATCCCAGGTGTGGACATGGCACCGCTTGGCAAAAGCCATGCTCTGCTAGGTGTCCCACATAAAAGTTGAGGGAGATGGGCATGTATGTTAGCTCAGGGCCAGTCTTCCTCGGCAAAAAGAGGAGGATTGGCAGCAGATGTTATCTCAGGGTTAATCTTCCTCAAAAAAAAAAAAAAGAAAGAAAAAAGAAAAATACAGAAGAGCCTGAGAAAATCTTCACTTTGGCCTGGGGAGCACTATTGGCTGAACATCCTGCCCTCCCTCCAGCCCACCGTAGCCTACTCTGCAAATCAGGCCATCTTCTTGTCAGCTCCACACCTGCTCCTCTTTTGTCCATGTCTCTCTTTTCCTTCGAGTCCTGATTCTCCTCCTTAGTCCTCTTCATCCTGCATAGCTGTTCTGAAGCCTGGGAGTCTTCCTGGACTTGGCAGGGGAGGGGTTGGTCTTCACTGATCCATTTTTCATACGAGTTTTCAGTCTCTAACATGATCATCTTAGTGTACACTGTAGGTTTGTTTATGTCAAATGTTAAGCTTGCTGCAGACGTACTAATCTGGGTTTGCATATTAAGGTACCTTAGAGGCCTCTAATTAGTTAGAGAAATAAATGGGCATCTTGGCTCCATCACAAAACTCTTCAATCTTCTGTTCCAAACACAGTGTGTTCTTAACACGTCTTCCCCCAGCCGGTCTCCAGATCCTTGACTTAATACAGTGCACTTGTTCTCCTTGGACGCAACAGGCATGGAGACAGTTCTGGCATCTTTGCTTCCATCACTGGGCTCCGCTGTATCCTCAGGGAGTGTGAGGGGGAGCGCCACACAACTTGCGTCCACTCACGTTGTCCATGCTCCGGGCAGCCTGGTTGTGTCCATGCACCCAAGCAGTGCCTCTGTCCTCTGTATCCCCCTGAGGATGCCTATGACAGGGTCTGTCTCATTTGCTGGGTTTGAGAATGACAGCCAGGCACAAGTGTCAGTCTATGCTCTGAGCAAACCTCCTCTGGCATCTAATACTTTTATTCCCTTCAGAAGAATCTCTCTGGATGACCCTGCTTTCCTGTGTTCCCTGCAGCAATGGAATGTACTTATTTAATGACTCTCCAGCCTCTTTTTCAACTTTCTGTCATCACTGATGTTTTGATAATGCAGTGATCAAGATAAGCCTCCTTTGGTCAGGATCACTCAGTGGTATATTTTAAACGCCTGTCTATCGGTCCATGGATATTTGGCTATGAAAGTCGATGTAGCTCAGAGAATATCCCCCCTCCCCACCAGCCTGCTTTTGCACTCAGTACGCCTCAGTGTCTTCTGAATGTGTAAATCCCAGGGGGACTCTGGACAGATGCTGGGCTGATTCTCTGATTTTTGCAGGACAGGAGGTCAAATACATTGTTAAATTTGCTTTAGAGACTATACCGTTCAATTGAAATTGACACTTCATTATTTCAATCCCTCTTGACTATGTATTTTTTTTGACCTGGTCTACTTTTAAAAGTTAATATCTTAAGTTTTAATTTAGCTTGTTTTATAATAATTAACGTTGGTGCTTTTTGCAGCATTTTTAGTGAATTCCATCTTATAAATGTTAATGTCCATTTTTCTGTATCCCATCGTTGATCACTGCTGTCATTTCTTTTGTGGAAGGTAATTTAGGTCCTCAGGTGTGGATTTCATGTGCTCATCAGTATCCAGCCTCAAGAGGGAAAAACTTTTCTGCATATTTCAGGGTCTGAGGAGCCAAAGTTTCTAGATATTTTTTAATGATAACCTTAGCCAGATGTGCAGTCGTGTTAAAATAATCTTACTGGTGGATATAACAAAATGATCATGTGCTCTTCCAGTGAATGTCAAATGAGCCTGCATTCTACAAGAGCCGCATGGAGCTATAGCCCAAGTTTCTGTTCTCTTTCTCATCAACGTGCAGGTTTTCGCTCAGAGGTCTTGTCTCGTCCAGGTGCAAGAGGTCAGGCTGCTCTCCTGTTGATTGGTTCTGTTGTCTGCTCTCTAACTTGTTCTTGTTTTTCCATCTCTCAGGTCGTTTTTGTAGCCATTTTGCTTCACAGTCATCTGGAATGCCGAGAGCCTCTGCTTATCCCAATCCTTTCCTTGTACATGGGCGCCCTCGTGCGCTGCACCACACTGTGCCTGGGCTACTACAAGAACATCCACGACATCATCCCCGACAGGAGCGGACCAGAGCTGGGGGTAGGTCCTCAGAACTCAGCAACAGCCTGTCTGTACATTCAAGTGGAATAAAGTTTTACCCCACCCCTATGTGAAATGAGAAATCAATATCATCAGCACACACTCTAGGAGTCATACCCAAAAACCAGGTGCTAAGTGGTGTCCACAGAGAAGGGCAGTTGGAGAATTAATGAATACTGGAGATGGAAGAGGTCTTAGAGGTCTCTGTCTAGCCTCCTTATCTCCATAGGAGGAGACTGAGGCACAGTGAGTCACGTCAGGCTGACGAGTAGATACAACATTTATGGTTCTTCTTGCTCTCTATTGTCAAAAATAAGTTTTCTATAAGTCAACAAAGATTTTAGGACCGATGATTTCTTTGAATTCACATTTGATTATTTTTAACTTCACAGCAGGGATCTAAGCTTTGTTCATATTTTCTGTGCTGGCCGATCACAATTGCTCATTCGGGTACCTTCTGTGGAGTGAGTAGAGCTTTTAGGTACCACAGGGTGATGCAGAAAATTTTAAGATGTGGTCTCCACCCTCCAGCAGCTTTTGGCAGACAAGACCAAGACAGAAGCAACAGTTAGACATGAATCCAAGACACACGTAGACTGCAGTGAGAACACAAGAGCCCTTGGAGCTGGAAGGAAGATAGTGACGTGGTCTAAGAAGCCTCCTTGATGGAGGCAGAGCTTGGCCAGTGCATCAAAAGTAGAATAAGATGCAAACAAGGTATAACCTTACGCAAGTGACCAGAGCATCCTTTTCACCATAAGTATAAGCAGTATCTGATTTATATCATATGTATGTATGCTAATCTTTTCTACCCTTGGGTATTAGGTATCACTTGGGTTTGTTTCCATCTAGCTGTAAGGGAGATATGCATGATTATATCTGAATAAATCACCACACTTCACCCCCCTGATCCCACCATTGACCACATGCTACTTTAGTCAGAGCAATAATTGTATTGACCACTTACTTCAATTCAAGGTCAGGCCACCAATAAAATCCGATCTAGTTATTTCCATCACTAGGACAACCACATCATGTTGGTCTTGATGATAAAAATCTCTCTCGTAACATTCAGCCACCAGCAAAGGGAAATAAATTAAGGTGCCCGAGATGGTTCCATGATGGAACTCTTACCCTCATGAAGAATCAAAACCACAGTTAAATAATGAAAGCCAGGCTTTAAAGATAGCACACATCTTTCTTGTAGAATTCTTCACAAATCACCTTTTATCATGCTTTTATTTTGCTTCTGCTTCTGAACATGTACATGACTTCTTTTGGAGCTTTGAGGATAAGAACCTATGTAGTACATTTGTACAATGCCCAAGTAATTAGGCACATTTGTGAGCTGACTGATTCCAACACAAATTATAATAATTCTTTACTTCTAAGAGTTACCTCTTACTGACCTGGCTTCAAGCCAGTCAGTTCGATGATTTAAACAAAAACTAATTTCCAACCTGTTTCTCAGACCATGGAGCTGGGTTGTGCCTTGGTTAGAGTTGCCCTTTTTGGAAAACAATTGTTTGGATCCATCAAGCTTAAATGTATGTTTTGATTTCACAGTAGCTTTCTAACTGTTCGAGTTAATTTCTAACAAGACTGTACATTTTATTTTAATTCAACTTGGCTTGTCTACAAAGACTTTTCCCTGTATTATTTTTAAGTATAGCAAATTGACTCATGACTGACATCAAAAGGAAAGGCTTTGGCTCTGAATTGGTTTTTCTCTTCTGCTTCTCAAGTTTAGTGAACTTCTATCTCCATTTCTTGATGCAGGGAGATGCAACAGTAAGAAAGATGCTGAGCTTCTGGTGGCCTTTGGCTCTCATCTTGGCTACACAGAGGATCAGTAGGCCTATTGTCAACCTATTTGTTTCCCGGGACCTTGGTGGCAGTTCTGCAGCTACAGAGGTAGGACAGTTTCTGGGGATGTGGACACCCACAGTACATTGTAAAGAATGGGGGCAAGGGAGGTGGATTACAAATTTGTTTCCAATTCATCTTCAGAGCTCAAGTAATTCTGTGATATTAAATTATGTGATGCATTCACAGTAGGAAGCCATGAGGCTCTCATTCAGTGACTTATAATCATGTAATTTTGTATCTTTGTGAGTATGGAAGAGAACATCTCACTCATCCTTCTCATTGACCAGATGAAGAAACTGAGGCAAGGGCACAGGTTAAGGACATAAAACCAGCAAGAAGCTGAGCTAGTATTAGAACCCAGATTTTCTTTCATCCACCCAATGGCCTTTCCATTATTCCATGGAGTCAGCATGATGCCTCTTCATTGTAGTTGCAGAGGACAGTGGAATATGCCATAGGGCACCAGCAAAAGTGAAAATACCCAGAAGAGGAAGGGCCAATGCCTCCATTTTGTTTTGTTTTTGTTTTTGTTTTTTTGTGAGAAAGATTGGACCTGAGCTAACATCTGTGCCAGTCTACCTCTATTTTATGTGGGATGTCACCACAGCATGGCTTGACGAGTGGTGCTAGGTCCGTGCCTGGAATCTGAACCTGCGAACCCCGGGCTGCTGAGGCGTAGCTCACAAATTTGACCTCTAGGCCACCAGACCAGCCCCTGATGCCTCTATTTTGACCCACTACTCTCACCTCTTCCTTCTTTTCCCTCCTGCACATACCACCCAACCCGTCATGGCTTTCTGTGCTCTTGGGCAATCTGCCCTCCTCCAAATGAGGATCTCCATCATTTACTCACTCAACTCCAGAAATTTATCTGGAAACTGGCAGCTACTCCAAAGAAAGAGTTGAATCATTTTTTCCATCTTTCAAGTAAGATATGAACAAATGGAATTACTTCATTTGTTTCCTCCTCCGCTGCCCTCTGGAGAATTAATTCTGACTCTGGAACTGCTGATCTTTCAGGAAGGCTGGTGGCTGCTCATTAGGGACTCCTGTTTACACATTGCCCTTGACTGCACTGTCAGCATATCTCCAGCCTGGGGTCTCCTGCCAGTTTCCGTGTCCTGGGAAGCAGCTCACGTTGGCTTAGAAAGAGAAGCACATAAATCATGAGCAGAATGCTTCCTCCTGCCTCAGTTTGTTCCCGGATTTTATTTTTTGACTCCTGAATATCATCTCGGGTGGCTTCTGTAACACCGCAGCTTTTTTACTTACATACTTGAGTTTATGTTGCCCTGTCAAAGGTATGTGACCCCCATCACCTGTCTGCTAGAATCCCATCTTCCCCTTAAAAAAACAAAGCAAATTATGTCTTAGGAATATTTCTAAATCGATCTCAGTGGCAGAGAGACACATCATCTTGTGGGGCACAGAACTGACATTTATCCATCATCTAATGGGTTGGCATTTATGCACACTTCATCGGCTCCCAACAACACTGTGAGGTGGGTACTATTAGTCTCATGGTTCTGCTGAAGGAACAGAAAGAGGCCTGAGAGGGCTCATGGGAGGGAGGGGAGGTTTGAATCCGGGTCCACCTAACTCCAGCACTCTTTTTTGTTCCACACCACTCCTCACAGCAGTGTCTTCACCCAGCTGGGTCCTTACCTCATGTTCCTGGCATCACTATTATGTCAATTAAAATAGATGTACTTCTCCTTTACTAGCTAGTTAGGGAGTTGAACTCTGCCAAAATGTAGGGTTACGTGCTTTGTTTTCCTTTTCCTTCCTTTCCTTCACATAAGAAAAGGATCTCATTCTCATTTTTGGCTTCCTGTAAGAAATATTTATTTAGCTTCTTAAATTAAAAATCAAAATTGGGCTATCCTGATGGCACAGCTTGGAGGTGAGTTGAGTCAGGAGGCAAGTACCGTAAAGCCATCGACAAACTCATACCGCCGGCCGCCCTGAAGGACAGCCTGCAGGCGTAGAGGTGGATCCTGAGGGAAGACTATCCAGAGAGCAGAGAGGGCTCCACTTGCAATTTGAACCTCAAGAATTGGGCCAGACAAGAGGTTTGTGTTTGGCTCAAGGGAAAGAACCAAGATTCTGGAGTCTGGTGGACCTAGGTGAAAATCTTGGCTTCTCGAGCCAGTGGTCTGAGTCTATTTCTCGTTGGGTTCCTGTAAAACAAGCCGTATCCTCCTGGTCTCAGGTGCACTGCCCCGGCCCGCGCATCCCACGCCCAGGGACGCCATGGAGCGCCCTCCTCCCACTCCTGGGCCACCCTGTGGCTGGCCGATGGTTGTCACCCAGTGTGGAGTGATCTGTGAGTGGGGCTCACACCTGAGACAGTTTGCTCTGCCACGTGGCAAACGGCAGCTACTGGAGATGCTTTCCGCGGTGCTGATGCTAACTCTGCTGGCCCTTCCTCTTGCAGGCAGTGGCGATTTTGACAGCCACGTACCCTGTGGGTCACATGCCATATGGCTGGTTGACGGAAATCCGCGCTGTCTACCCTGCTTTTGACAAGGTGAGAACCTGTGCGTCGTGGTGTCTGAAACACGCTATTTAAAATTAGCGTTTGATGGACAGGGCTCTCCAACGAGGAGCACTGTGGTGTTGCTCCGTCTCGCCTCCTTCTGTAAGGCTAATGTAGCATTCGGGATGTTGAAAGTAATTTTGGAATATTTCCCTCAGAAAATCACAGAGGCAGTTGAAGCTTACCTTGATGCTGATTCTATAATGCTTCTCCAAACTGATACTCACTTTTAGGTTATTCCTGTTGAGAAACTATTTGTTTGCAAAAGGGAAGATATACTCTCAAAAATTTTTAATACATTGGATTTTGTTTCTGTGGTTTGGTTTTTTAAAATTAAACTAAGGCTTTACTGCCCTCATAGCAGATGTGAAAGTACAGACAGGAAGTTGTGTGCGTGAGCTAAAAAGCTTACGGCCATCTTCCTGTGAGCTGTGGCACGTGCACACTGAAGTTGTCCACGCCGCAGGCTTGGGTCCAGGTTGGTTTGGGTGCAGCAGACTTATTCCAGCTGAAAGGCTCTGCTGACAGCAGCTCTGTCCTCCCGCAGCTGCTGACACAGCCAAGGGAGGCACATAACCCTTCGGACCTGTAGCCTGTAGCTGGGTCGGGACTGTCCACTGCTGATCATTCAGTAAATGTCTATTTCATTAACGCTTAATTATTTGAACCTGCAGACTTTTATCCTAAAATAAATGAGTAGCAAGACAGACCCCAAAAAACAGAGTGCATAGTGTGTTCAAATGAAAAATAGAAAAGAATCACCCAGCCTGCTACTTGCACTCTTGATAGAAGACAAGTTTGGCCTCAAATTGCTATCGAGCTAGCTCAGATCCATGGCTGATACCATTTAGCTTATGCCAACAAGAGCCCTGGAAGGGGAGCAGAGGAAGCCTCTTTGCCGGGGTCCCCAGCAGATCAAGTTTGTCAGCACAGGCAGTTTGGGTTCTGGCTGGCTAAGGCTGGCCTCCCTCCTTCCTCTTTCCCCTCACCCCCACCCCGACCCCCGTGGGTGTAGGAAACCCAGGGAAGCCACACAAAGCAAGGCCAGGCCACAGGCTGCAAGCTCACCTCATTCCTTCATGTGCTACCAGCTTCTGAAATGCCCCCCTCTAAACTCTGTGGAGTGGGGGCCCAGCAGAGATTTTCTCTCCACCTGGCACCCTGACCTGAGGGCACCTCCTGAGCATCTCTGAGGCGGGGATGGAGGATCAAGTCTGAAAAGATATGGTCCACTATGGGTCCACATCCTTCTCTGCACCTGTGGCCCACAGGCAGAATTTCCACGTTAGTGTGCATGCTCATGCGAACACACACACAGACCCTCTGCTCACAGGTACCCATCCACAGCATCCCTCCACACTACCCATCCCCCATGCTACTCTTTGTATCACCATTACTTGCCTCTCTTCTCACACCCCTTCTCAGCAACTCACCTCAAAATACTTCAAGGATTCCCACCATGCAGCCTAATGTGAGATAGGGTGGTGGCGTTGCCCAGAACTCTTTACTGGGCGTGGAACTTCCCCAGTAGGCTATTAGTTGGAACTACCACCTACTTCAAACATTCACTTGCAACATCAAGATGCAGAGCATCTCCTAAAAAGTGCATTTGATTCCTGCTTCACAGGCCTTTGAGAATGGACTTCAGAAGGCATGAGTCACTTACAGGAGAGAACTGATGGTCCATGTTTGAGTGGGTTTAATCCAATCTACTGACAGAAATCATTGTTTTCATTTCAAGGAACATGTGTGTCGAAGTAAATCCTAGAAAACCAAGATGGATATAAGTCTTGCTAAATGTCTAGCTCTTGGAGAATAAGATGATATAAGAAAACCTGGTGAGAATAGCAGGTACCAAGGTCAGAACCTCCTGGCTGTGAAAGTCTCCTCTGAAATTGTTTTTGGCTACCTTGAAATAATAAAACTTAACAATACTACACTATACAGTTTCCCTAGGAGCATCCAAGGAAAACATTGCCTTATTCATGATCACAGAGGTTAGCCAATACGAAAAAATTCCTTTAACGAGCATACCTCTAGCCACAAACTGGAGTTACTCAGAATCCTTTTGAAACCTCACCCATTGTTTCCAAGCATCCCACTGAGCTACTCCAAGCCATTTATATGAATGCCGTCTATTCACCCAAATCTTAGACACCTCCGTGTGGACTTCCAGAATTTGCTGCATCGACAATTGAAATCCTTAGCCTCTTTGTGGGTTCCAGCCTAAGAGATTTAAGATTTCTCGCATAACTCTGATGGTTCCAGCTAACTATTGAGCTGGGAGAGTTCTCCAGTGGTACCACATCTCTCTAATGTTCAGTTCTCATCTGCGAAAGAGTACGTTTCTAAGCAGATTGGGCACACAAAACAAAGCACAGATGCTGCTCTAATGACACATGCTCATTTATTCCAACTATACTTGCAGAAATATTTGCTATTTTAAAAACAAAAGTGCACCTGAGGGAGCTATGGCACGTTGTCGTCACCACAGGTGACGGGTGCGTTTGGAGATTGCCTGACTCTTTGCAGCCTGGCCGCCTCGTCACTCAGCCCGCCAGGGCACCGCTCTCACAGATCCCCGGGGGAGATGTCCTACTCCCTGTGATCTGCACTTTGCTATAGCAGCAGCTGCTTATTCAGAAAAGCAGATATGCTTTAGGGATTGGAATTAAGAAAATGGAAACCCGTCCATCCAGAGGTTTGTGCTGGTGGCATCTGCAGGGGGCGTGGATTAGAGAGATTGCTTTGTCCTCTGATGTAAAGGAACCATCGAGAGCTCTTTTCCGAGTGGAACCGGAAGTAGCTCTGCTTGGGGGCATCTCATTCGGCTGGATGCAGGAGCCGGGTGCTCAGGTGTTGTTTTTGTTAGTCAGCGCTGGGACTAATTGGCTCCATAACAAGGCGGGGGTTATTTTCTCTGCTGGTTGTCGCCCATTTTTATTGGGTAATGGGCATTCATGGCAGTGACGCCAGGATAGCTTCAGCAGAGCCTCAGATTCAGGGATATATAAGAGGACATCGGAGCCATCTGCATTATGCGCTTAAAATTCAATGTAACAAAGGCTGTTTGAGCACCTTCTATACTCAGGAAGGATTGTGCCAAGTTGCAGGAGCTGAAGAGATGGGTGAGACACTCAGTCCCTGATCTCAGAGAGTGAGCCCACCTCACAGGGGCTTTGACACAGGCCCCCTGAATACAGACCAGGATGCCCTACATGCCTGTAGAGAGCTCCAGGGTGATCAGCGTACAGGAACAGGGACCCTGGAGCAGTTTGGAGGTACGAGATCTGAGAGACTTTAAGGCACAGATGGGCTGTGAAAACGATGGGCCGTGAAGAGAAGGGTGTTTGTGACAATCAGAAGACCCAACGAGAGAAGAAGACACAAAAGCCCAGAAATGTGAAAGCTCCAAGTGTGTTGGGAGAGAGCAAAGGGTTCCCTCTGGGATAAAAGTCCAGCACCGGGTCTGGGTCAGGGCAGCAGGCCTTGGATGCCCAGTCAAACTTATAGTCCATTTGCGGGGAGGAGAGGGCCCCGTAGGTCACTGAGCAGGGCCTCGGCACTCAGGGACATGCCCATGGTGGCCAGGAAGGGAGTGCACCAGCTGAGGCCCTGGACTAGGCTGGGTGGGCGCCAAGCACCAAGGGGAGGGGACTGATTCAGGAGATACTGCCAGGCATTCAGTGTGGAGCTTCCACTGGTTAATGTTCACGTCCAGAAACCTGACAGCTGTCTGAGAGACACTCAAAGTGCCAGCCGTCTTCCAAGCTGTCCCTTGACATCTATACTTACGACGCAATCATGTAAAACAGAAACGAGATGCATGTGTGGTCAGCCGAGGATAAGCTGGAGCCCAGTCACCATCGTCCTTTTCTTTCCCTCTAGAATAATCCCAGCAATAAGCTGGTCAGCACAAGCAACACAGTCACAGCAGCCCACATCAAGAAGTTCACGTTTGTCTGCATGGCCTTATCGCTGACGGTAAGAGAGACCAACACACACCGCTCTCTCTCTCTCTTTTTGTTTTCAGAAATAGGGAAACAGTCATTTTGAAGGGAGTGGTCTGGTATTGCATAATGTGATGCTATGCTAGATTAATTAACAACCTCTTCAAAACATTTTCTTCCCAAAATATGAACCACTGTTATTCGAGGAGGTCACTGAATCTAAGAATAAAGGGTCAGTGTTTCTTGGGACTTCTTAAATACTGAAGAAAAACAGACTTTGTCTTTAAATTTAATAATACTCATCTTACTGAATAATTTCCAGCCTGTTTTTAAACATCCAGAGTTAACTCTGCAACCATCCCTGTCCCTTTTCCAAATTTAATTGGAGATATTTCCGTTTCCGATAAAAGTTCCTTTCCTAATTACGTTTATGCTGATGTAGCCACTTATTTCTTCATCATTTAACACATAGTTATCGAACACCTACTACATCCCAAGCCTTGGGCCATCTTCGAGGATACACCTGTGAACATGTGGATAACACGGCACCATTGACAGTGCCGTCGGTGGCTCTGTGCACAGCCTTCAATAAACAGCACCATCCTTCCTGTATCCACTCCCATGAGTAATTCACATGGGCAAGATCATATTCAAAAGCCATGGAGAAAATACATGCTCTATAACCCAAAGCACATGGTATATAATTTAAGTTTGTTTATAACATTTATAAACACCCTTATGTTGTAGACTGCGCCCTTTGGATTCTAAAGATGGAGATCAGAAGAAGAAAAAAAGAAATATGGGTCTTTTGAACTCAGTTCAGTTTTCCTTGTTTGTTGTTGTGACCACACATTTCCTACCAGATCCTGTAGAAATTCTCTGTTTATATGGTACAGTGTAAGCATGGTGCAGGAGTGCCTGGGTGTCTGCAGTTCCCATCCTAATGGCCAATCACGAGGACCTGAGCAGTAAAATGTGTTGGGTCATGCTGATGACAGGAACACGGGAACTGTTGTCCTTCCTACTAGGATCACAAGAACCATTTAGCTTGATGTGTCCTAGTATAAGCCCTTTAAAATCAAGCCCTACATATGTTTTAAACTTTTAATGGATATTTTTTCAAGCCCACAGCTTAATATTTAATCCAATGATCCAACACCTGCATAGATTGTAATAAGGGCAACACAAGACAAATAGCCCATCACATAACACCTCTGACACCCGAGTCATGACCTTGTGTCCTCAGCTGCCCATTACCCCACCCTCTCGCCAGTCCGTCCTTCACGCAGCTGGGCCCCACCTCACCAGGGAGGAATTGCTGATCGCGTCAGGACAAGTTACCCCAGGCAACTCTGCTCCCCTGTTTGCATTATTTCTCTCTATGGTGTGTAAGTTTTTCCATAGTTCCATAAATATTAACAAAACCCTGAACAACCTTGAAACTGTCTTAAGAGTATTTTAGGAAAAACAGAGAAGGTTTCTATTCCAGGAACAGACCTCAGCTTTTGGAGACTGTGTTAAATGACTGGAAGTTGCAAGTTGAGTTGATTTGGATGCCAGATTCTGTGACTTGGACTTCACGCGCATGGAAAGCTAGAAGCTTTGGGTTGTTGCTGGCTCTGCATTCTGGGGTCAGACTTCCTCCATCTCCTTTGCTCCACTTAAACATCTTCCCACAGCTCCAGTTGAGTCCCACGGAGAACTTTACCAGATTGACTTTCAGGATATTCCTTTTCTCCTTCAGCTCACGGGCAATACTCTGGACCTCTAAAACAAGAGCAATGGGTTTATTTGAAATGATAACTACTTAAGATCTAGCAAAATGCTTTGATTTCCCATGTAGAGGTTTTGTTGAATTATTCCAATCCTAGATCTAAAAACCATCTGTAACTAGAAGTATCTCAGGGTAGATTTTCACCATAGAAACTGAGACTCAGAATCCTTTGTTGGAAAGGAACTTGAGGTTGAACTAGTCAAAACCCATAGTTTTTTAGAAAGGAAATGACTCAGAGAGGAGAGGTGACTTGCCCAAGTACCCAGTATTGGAACCAGCTAGAAGCCAGCCTTCCAGGCTTGTTCTCCAGGGCCCTTTCCTCTGAACTGCACTGTTTCAGCCAGTAGGCCGTCTGGCCCTGAGGCCTCCAGACTGGAGCACTTGCTGCTGTGCTTGAAAGGGGGGTTTCTTCAACACAAAAAACAGTAGTATTTGAGTGTGCAGTGTATGAGCTGTCTCACCTACATTCTTCTGATCACGGTTCAGCCGGTTGGTCCGAGATCTTGGCTAGAGAAATTGTCATTAAAAGATGCGTAGAAAAAAATGCAACCGTTGGGTTTTTTCCCTACGTTAGATGTTCAGCTGTCACTATAATATGTACATACCTTTTCATTGTCATTTCTCATAGTCCTTCTTTACATCTGTTGCCCCTTGTAGGCTCTGAACTTCCCCAAGGCAGGGGATGTACTTAGTCATCTTTTATCCCCAGGCCCTAGCATCCTGCCTGACACAGAAGGTGCATAATAAACAGTTAATAAACATGTGAATTAGTTAATTCTTAACGATGAGATACGGATCAGAAATGGCACCACCAATGGCAACCCCCCACCCCACCATGAGCGACAATCTCCTTATTTATACAGTTTACCCTATTTTCAAAGCTTTTCAGAGGTCCTTTGCTCTCTTGACTATTTTCTTTTTTTTTTAATTTTAAAACTTCTTAGCGTCATGAAATTAACATAGCAGAGGTCATTGAAACATGCGAGAGCAGCTCACTTGGTGTTTATTCCAGTAGATGATATAACATAGAAAGTGCGAGCTTTTGGTGGTTCCACAGCTTTCTCTGGATCACCTAGGATTCGAGCACTTTCCCGTGTCCAGCTCCTTGGGGCAAACTAGCTTTTCTCCCTGGGTCTTTCAGAAGAGCTCACCCACAGATCCTGTGGACGCTCAATGACCCACCGATGCTAACTGCTTTTCAAAGGAAAACGGGTACTGTCCAGAACGAAAATTCCTCTTCCCATCAGAATGGGCTCGCTCTTCAGGCCCTGACATTTTGGGTTCAGCATCTGCCTTGGATCCGGCTGCGTCACTTTTGACAGTTCATAAGAGACTAATAGGCTACAATGCACATATTTATTTATTTATTTATTTATTTTCTAGTATAGATTTTCAATTTAAATTTAGAGTATCTATCCTACTCCAAAAGTTGGTTCTTTCCTCAGACTTTTATCCAGGAGTCTCTTTGAGACACTGGGCTTCAAGAAAAGCAGCAGACATCTTCTGCCCAATTGGAAGAGCAGGTGGATTTAGGAGGAGTGTAGGGTGGAGAAGTAGGAGTATTTTCCTGCTAGCATCTTGCTCCCCTTCAGGGATGCCTTTAGTTAGGCATGCTCGGCGCAGTGCTGACTGACTTCTTCAGACCATCTGATGGGAGGGAGGGGGAGCAAAGGGGGAGCTTTAGTTGATCCAAAAATGAGCTTCATAATGGGAGAATTGTCAGATAAAAATTAATCCCCTCACTAGCAACAAAGGAGCAGATATAATGCAAACTAGGGTTAGCAAGGTGAGTGCAGCCTGACAAGCTGCTGTGTGGCGTGAAGCATCACACAGTTGGAAAATAGATACAGTTGACGTTGATTTGGAAGAACAGCTTCTGATGGCTTGCTGCATCATGGAAGCTTGCAGCACTGGCCACGCAGAGGAGAAAACGGAGGCAACCAGCAATCAGAGCTGCGCAGGAGGCAGGAGCACAGAGAGCAAGGCTGTGGCCTGTGCTGGGGGCAGAAGCAAACAGCCAGTTCTGCCCTGAACCTTCCAGTAGAGCATCATCTCCATGATGTACGTGACTGACTGTAAAGTGCAGTGATAACTCGCGTGTCGTCCAAGGCTGCGTTTCTCTAAGTAGGTGATCGTGGTGATCACAGGCGGCAGGGTGGTAGCAATAAGCTTGTGATAAGGGAGCAGGAACAGCATTCCTTCCCCTTGGGGAAAGGAACTGGTAATGCTTAAACATATAGAAACTCAGCCTTTTGCACACCCTTTGGGCTTTATCATGATTCCCTCCCTCCTGCACTCTAGATTTGGGGATAAAATAGAAACCAACAGCCAGGGGGGGATGTGTCTTTCAACAGTCCTATTGGTGAGGAAGAAGTGTCCCAAAAAGATAAGGGACCTCTCTATTCCTGGACGCCATGCCAGTTTGGTGAAACCAATGGATCAGCTTACCAAATCCACCAACCTTTCAACTTACCCCAAACGTGTAATTTTTTTAACTCTTTCTAAAAATGTTCATAGAAAATCATATTAAACAGGGAAGTTTTAACAGCTTTGAATGATTTTAGTTGACCAATTTCCATTTTGACTTCACTATGGCATTTTAAGAACATTTGGTGTTTTCTTAAGCTCCCTGCTATTCTAGCTTTGGGGAGCTGGTGCCAAGAGTGGGGCCTCTCTGCTACAAGAGAGGTGGAGAAGAATCCATGCAAAGCACAGGCTTGGCTGATGCTGAGGCCTCCCAGCCCCTTTTTACAAATGGAAATGGGCATCCGTCCAGATGGATCTTGGCAGGCAGAGCTGGCAGGGACTTTGTGCAATGAATGACCTACACGATCATGCCCAGCACCCCCTGGATGCTGAACTCGGAGAAAGTCAGGAGGGCAAGAGCAAGGATCAGGGAAAGCGGAGAGACTGGATATCAGAAAGATGGAGTAGAATGCAGGTCAGAAGAAGGAGGGGAGAGACTCTGGGTCAGAACAAGAAAGAGGAGGCTGAGAGTCAGAGAAGGATGCAGGATGACCTCAGTGGGTGCAGACAGATGGGAGAATGGGAAGGCCCCGGAGACTCCTGGAGCCCTCACAGCCCTCCAGGGCCCTGCCAGTCCTTCGAGTACAAATTGCTATAAACTTTAGAAGAGTTAAAAAGAGACAAGTTTTTAAGAAATCAGTAAATTCGACAAATTGTTGGTTGGCCAAATAGGCTTTTCCAGAGGTTGGTTTTGGTGAACTGGCCTGTTCAGGAAGCAGGTGTGGAGCATGCTT